ACCTTATGAAAAACCGATACGACAACCCTTATTTTAGTATAACCACTTTTTTGATGGAATTTTCATGAGAAATTTATGGGGAAATCCCAATATCGGTATGTCACTTATTAGCTACATGAGGCGCGCACACTACATGGTGCATGCCCCCTAGTCGGGAGTGAGCTTATTGCGTATACTTTTTGGGTCACGCTGTATGTAATAAAATAATTTAACCCCAATAAATGCAATTTGCAGCTATTAAGGGGTATTACTCGTTATTAAAAATATTTTGAGAGTTCGGTTAGTTTAGGTAAATTTTTAGAGAAGCAGGTGGTATTTTCAGATAGCCGCGTGGTAGAAATATATTCCACATGATAGCTCGTGCGATGGTATAAGAAGAAAAATGTGGTAAAACAAATATGTAACTTTTATGTTCCGTAATCACATTGTCTATCTGTATAAGAATAGTTACAAATAAAAATAAGTAAAAAAGTTACCTTTCCTTAGTACGAAACCTTCGGTCGATACGTGTGTGCGATTCACATTTACATCTTTAAACAATTGCGCGACATTAAAAACAGGGTTGTGCTTTTCACACGTACGTACCTATTTGGGTATTATGTGTATGCACGTGGGATTCCTTATTCCATTGAAACATCCAATTAGCTGGATCATTGCTAATCAGGGATTTATTTAAACCGTCCGAGGGTATACGCTATAGGTTCTGTTTCCAAAAAACCAATAAAAAAAATTAAAACGGAATTGAAGAGCTCAATCTGGATATAAAAGCATAAAGTATTGGTAAATTAACAATCTGTAACAACTCATGATAATTACAATCAAAGGTATACCTAGATACGAACGTTCACTTTTTCTTGTCTTAAACCAATTTTTGCATTTCTTAAAAACTCCAGCAACCTAATACATCCTTAACGATTTGCGAACAATAATTAAGTCTAGGGTTTCCTAGGTTTATATTTCTTTTAACCCCCAATACGGACTTTTTTTCGTCATTATAAGGTCGTCAGTCCTAAGACTGGTTGGACACGCACCTCCACTCCTTCCTATCCTGAACTAAACTTCGCATTTCCGTAAAATAGAACAACCCACATCCTTAACTATTTATGAACAGCAATTTAATCTAAGTCTACCTCTACTCCTGTTGGTAGCTCACCTTCTCATGCATCAAGCTCTAGTTAAAGGCATATTAGGGGCAGAAACAGAAGTTAAGAGGAGTAGAGGTAGACTTCAATTAGATTACTGTTCGCAAATAGTTAAGGACGTGGGATGTTCCAGTTTTAGAGAAATGCGAAGATTAATTCAGGATAGGAAGGAGCGGAGGTGCGTGTCCAACCAGTCTTACGACTTACAACCTAATGATGACGATTACGCCATATCTTAAAAGCTTCTCGCGGTTTCTTTTCCACAGCACCCACCTTTCACACTTCACACCCATACAGAGCCGTGCTCCAAACACACCTGCAATAATCATTTTCGAACTTTCAGATTAACCGATCTCCACAAATGTGGTTTCGTTTTCTTAAAAGCGACCCAACTCGGAGCTATTGTTTGTTTCTTTTTTAGCGTTTCTTTTTTGATGAATAAGTTTGAATACACGATTAGTGCGATATATTTTAAATACGGTTAGGTCAAGCTACGTAGGATTCAATTAGGTTAGGGGTCGTTTGTAAATGACCTTTCCTGTTAGTCATTGGTTATATTACGGGGCGCAGTCATGCCATGTTATTAATGAACCGAGTGTCCTTGATGTTTCTAATGTGTCTTTAGAGATGCTTTCATGGTCTGCTTCTAAACTCTAATAACAACTGTAGTAGAACGGTTATCATTTTATAGCTACTAGAAGCATCTTTTTTTTGATACTCTGTCATTTTTCAAATTGAAACGATTTAATGTAGATATTAAATGGTAATGATATCATCCGGAGGCTTAAGATAACATAAAAGCAGTTCTACTTAGAAATACCTAAGTGAAGACATTAAGACGTTCTATAAAGTTTATAAAATAAATTGACGAGAAGCAGTTTTAAGCTAAAATTATATGTCCACGTCGTAAATAAGGAAATCGTAAAATGGTTTACAAGCAAGCGTATAAGATATCTCGAATTTGCAATCACGCGCAGTTACATTTAATAGAATCTCTTCGATATGGAAGCATCAGAAAAAAATATCAAATTTATCGTTCGTGATAAATTTTGTTGCGTGTTATAAAGTAATAGATGCCATTAAATGAATGCGTCCGTAATGTGCTTGCCAATTCACTTTATCTTAATTGAACAGGAAAATCTACGTGTTAATTAGGTTTGAAGTGATGCTTCAAGTTGAAAACTGTTGAGTCTACTGTTGATCACCACTTGTTCGAATAAAAATTTTGAGAAGTAGCAATTATCAAGTCATCAAAGCGATAAATTGTACAGTGCCTACTGGCGTACGCTGCCCATTTTTATCATTAATTATTCTTAGAATTTGAATGCTGTAGTGGAAGAAGTTTGCATTAAGTATACATCATCGAAATAAGCACATACCAAAAATAGTACGATGAGTAAGTGGGGAGATTTATAATTGAAAATAACAGTATTTAAATACAAAATGCAAATACTTTCTTGATTTGTTATTTCAAATGTACGAGAGCGGTTCAATAAGTACCCGTGTTAGACATGAAGACATATTTTTTTTAAAATTTGTTTTTTTATTTTTCAACATAGTCCCCTTTTAGAAAGATACACTTCTCCAAACGACCCTGCCATTTTTTTTACCCCTCCAAAAAATAAGTTTTGTCGAACTCTCCAAAATCCCCCACTGTGTCTGCGATGACATCCTCGTTTGAGCTACATTTCTTTCTCGCTAGTCATTTCTTCATGGTAGGGAACAAGATGAAGTCGCAGGGAATCAAATCGAGTGGGTACGGGGTGTGCGGCAGCAAATTCATAACGTAATTCATGCATTTTGGCGGCAACAACTCCTGATGAATGTGCCGGTACGTTATCGTGTTAAAAACGCACCCTTTTTTTCGTCAAATGCGTCCGTGTCTCCTTCAATTTTTTGTCGAAGGGGTCCAATAACTCACTGTGGTATTGTCCAGTGATAGTTCTTCATTTTCCTAAAAAATCCGTAAAATGATTTCCTCGGCAACAACGTTTGCCAGGCTTCCTGGTCGCTCCTATCAAAAACGGATCTTTGCCCACGTTTAAATTCGTTGAAGCAATATCTAACTGTGGTCGTAGATGGCGAAATGTCTCCATAAACAGTATCCAACTTTGTTTTCATCTCCTCGCATTTTTTCCCATCCAAAAACAAAAAGCGAGTTACCGAACGATACNACATCCCACATCCTTAAGTATTTGCGAACAGTAATCTAATCTTGATCTACCTCTACTCCTGTTAACTCCTGTTTCTGCCTCTAACATGTCTCTGGTAAGCCCTCTATGAGAGGATGTCCTACCTACCTATCTTATCTATTTCTTATCGACTTCCATAGAGGCACTATTAGTAGTACCAAGTTTAATGACACCGATATTTGGCGAAACAATTGTTAATTTTTAAAAATTTGTAAAAATCTTAGAAGTATTGTTTTTATGGTAACAATAGATTTTCATCAAGCGATGTCGATTCTATTTTTTTTTGTTTTAATCTTCATCGTAACACAGATAAATTTTCTGTTTACTAAGCCACCCTTCAGAAAGTCATGCTGTATTTCCGTTATCACGTCTGTACACCTGTTGATATTCTCATCGTCATGTAGCAGACTGAACACATGCATGTATGCACCTTACATTTACGTATTACAAAACAAGAAAAGTGCTTCCATTGAATTATAATTCCATAAATGCATTACATACCACACGTATATTACGCCATACGTACCTGTGCAAATATCTATACACATACCGTACTATCTCACATACGTATGTCATACATCTGCATCTGCATCTGTAATCTGTATAGTGTCTACATACATGCCTGAGTACATGTCAGGAATTCACTTGTGTAGTCACTTGAGAAATCTCCCTGGTGGTGTTACATTCTGAAACTATAAGGGAGTATTGCCATCCACCTAATAGTTGATGCAAATAACTGAAATTGAAGCTACTAGACAATATTGCACCACGGATTTAAATTACGACCTGTAAATTTGGAACACAATTAACGATAGGCTTTCTTTATTCTAGAATACAAGACCAAAAAGTCATTAACGTATTATCAATAAGAGCTTGACTCTACCGATCAAAACCCATTTCCAAGGAGTTTAGAATTTTCTGGGATCTCCTCAGTTAAATTTTTAAGCTTGTAATACCTTCAATGGCCAGTATGAACAACTTTTATTCATCATTTTATATAATGTTTGATCTGTGATACTAGTAAAACTTTTAACGGCAAAAAGGTATTTTGCATTTTACAAATAGAAAATACGTATTTCAAATAAAATAAAAAATACTTTTCTGGAAAAAGTATTTAAATGTAAGATAAAAATAGGTATTTTTTATTTTGTATTTGCATTTGAAATGTAAGTATTTCAAATAAATAACATCTCTACTCTCTATATACTCCTCCCAACTCTCAGCATCCTCTTTTCTTCTACTCTTTCTAATAACTCTTCATTTCTACCCTTCTCTATCCACGCTATACGATATACCAACATTTCGAACGTTTTTAACAACAATCGTAACAATCTTTTTCGAATTTCTAAATTAACCATTCGCAAGCATACAAAAACATGACTTTTCCACGAAGCAATTGGTAATTTCGGTACAGATACATGAACTTATTCCGAGTAGCCCAATTGCTGACGCGTACTTACAGTTAGATTTACCAATCTACTATACTGGAGTGTACCGGTTCGAATTTTACAATGTGATCAAATTTTTTGGTTTTCTTTTTATATGGCACATAGAAAACAAATTTTAGTTACAAAGTACGAATAATAACTTATAGAAAATAGATCAATTATAACTAGACGTTTTACATTTGTTGCGAACGGAGCACTAAACAATAAAGATATCTTACCTGAATCCGAGCTTCTGTAAGTCCAACTTTCATGGCCAACTCTTCCCTGAAACAAAAATACATGTAATTTTATAGCAATATATAAGGTGTGAATCTTTACAATTAACAAATACAGTTTAGAACATTTAAACAGCGTTTTGAATTGCAGGGTGTGGAAAAAGTCCTGCACTAAGAAAACTTTCAAACTTTCTTAGATGCATATGACACAATTCTAAAAATAATATATATATAAATCAGTAATTAGTGAAAAAATAAATGTATAAAAATTGCAATAATGGTTCCCAAATTTACACCGTGACAACTATCATTGAATGTCTCTAAAATTAATTATGATTATTTTGAATTTGGCGCTATCTATCAATTGAAAAATAACTGCAATGAATTCCAATGTTTAACTTAACCCCCTGCGACTCCATCTCCTGACCCCTCTAAAAACACTTTCATATAGCTCCAACGGCTGCTTTATATTATAACATGAGGATATTTCACATAGTAGACAAAATATCTTCACCAACATCATCATCATAAGGTCGTCAGTCCTAAGTCTGATGGTTGGACACGCACTTCCACTCTTTCCTATCCTGAGCTAATTTTCGCATTTCCCTAAAACTAGAACAACCCACATCCTTAACTATTTGCAAACAGTAATATAATCTAGATCTACCTCTATATCTTCACCAATAATAAAAATAAATTTGGCTGCTGGAATGAAAGTGTTGAATGAAAGTTACGAATATTTTCTTCTTCTAAGTAGATTTCTCGAAGAAAATGAATTACAAGTAATATCAGATGTGCATGGGTAAAACTAGAGTCGATAAAACCATAAATGAATATTTATTGAAAATCCTTCAAAGAATATTTTTCAGGGGATTACAGGACATTCACTGAGTACAGAATCCATTCGTAAATCAGGTAAAACCATCAATATTACTATGTCAGGGTGTTTTGGGTACTAAAAGAAGACTGAAGACGTTGTATTTAATGACTTGAAGGACCATTGCAAGGAATTATGAATGCATAAACTTAATTTAACTTGTTGTGTCCCGCGACTATGTCGCGTTCTTAAATTGGGCTGTACACGCTCACTTCCAAGCAAGTAACCAGTACACACTTTTTGAGAACAACTTTATTTCTTACTATTTACACTTAACTTAATTTATACTTAACACTTAACAAAAAATAGAAAAGACGTAGAAAAGTTGGGTATGTTATAAGAACAGAATTAGAATTGGAACTCCTCGAAATTTGGTACCTGCTCCCTTTTATAGGGACGCTAGAGAAAGCGCCATTTAGGACACTTCTCAGAAAAGTTTCAAGTACGATGCTAGTTTTATAGCACCAAGTGCACAAAGTTTGGCTTCGTTTTACAACGGCAAAAAAATACAAGAAGTAAATATTACATTTTCTAGTTAAGTTTAAATCTTGATATTTCTTGTTAATAATGATATATGATATAATAATGATATGGGATATTTGATGATTACCTAAAGAGATATGAAACGCTTATTAAACTAATAATTAATATGTGGAATATAACAAACTTTATTCAATAATGTAACGAAATAAGTATATGTGCTCTGGTCAAGCGTTAACACCCAACTTTCTCACCACTCGCGCAATTATTCGATACCTGTTTAATAAGGGGGTGCCGCATGCCTATAAAATAAAACATGTGATAAACCAAAAATAAATGAAATTGTACACACAGTATGAGAATTTGATCGATATATGTTAAGAATCTATCCTCTCTAAAACTGATTTAAATTTCAAATTTGAATGACTTTATAGATTGCAGTCGTTGAGAAGCCTATCATGGTTGCATCCGCTTATATTGACAACCTTCAGATGTGAGACGAGCTTTTCAGGCATAAAACTATTATCAATTTATTGTTTTTTGTCAAGATGAGGTTATGCAAAAAAGGGTGAGTCAATAAGGTCAAAAAATGAGAATAGTGTGGCGAAATAACTCTTTTTGTTTTTTCTGTGTGTAAATATTTTTTCTAATTTTATTTTACTTCATTTCAATTAATATTTCATTTCAAGTAATATTTCCTTCCAATCTAAACTCTACTGTTCTTTCAATCACTTTTACCTGGAAATCCAACTTTAATATCTGGTTTTACCCTTAATTGCTTTCTCTTGAATTCTGTACTATCTAATTCTGTGTATTCCTAGAAACTAGTGTCTTCACCCTCTCTCTCACTACTTTTCCTTCTAGAACATTCTATCAAAATTACTAACAACCCTATCCTATAAATACTCGAAAATTTCTTATCTCAAGACAGTCTCTCGCCTACCGCTACCACCATTCGTAAGTGCTTCGATTATTCTATTATTATTTTCTACATTGTTTTCATTTTTGTTGTTATCTTTGTTATTGTTACTGTTCTGTTACCTTGTTCTCGTTTGTTTGTTTCACTCTTTGTGTCTTTTGTTACTTGTGTTTCGTTGTTATTGTTATAAACTGTTATCTGTTATTATTAGTGTTTTTTTGGTATTTAAGTAATACCCATCAAAAGACACTAAAATAGAAATACAGTATTTTAAAACTGATAAAAAATGTAGCAGCTTTTGGTTGGTGACGAAAGAAAAAAAAAATAACACCTGCATTTTGGACAAATTTAAAGAATTGTTTCTTGGTTAAATTAATGTACCTACACAAGTATTGTATAATAATGTAAGTGAATAATAGCATCAGTCGCTTAAGCCATGTAGGTAAAATATATTTAATAACAGAATGAAAAGAGCGAAGCAATCAGCGCCTTCTTGATGGTCGTCATCTGTCGGATGTACGTAATAGATCAGTTGGCCAACAACAGACAGAGGCTTTTGCTTTCTGACCGCCAGCCAGTGCAACAGCAACAGCTCGTCGTTGCGCCGACGATGCGGCAGATATAACGGCCACTAATTGGAGTCCTTTACAATGTCAATGCGCGCCAGACCGACAAATTACAGACAATGCGGAATCCACCGACCACCGGCCGCCTGGTAAAAACGACCCTAACTACCACTCCGATATATCTATAATACACACATCAGATACAACGACAATATGATGAGCGGATTATTATCCGATAATAGGGAAGCTAAACAATTGTCTAGGGACAGAAGAACTCCAAGGGACACCAATAATGGTTTAAAAACATATATCTATCAAAATTAACTGAGATGTTGCATTTAAAAAGTTTAAATGTAGAATTTATTTCCACGTATATAAAGGATAAACTAACCAGCTCATTCCAGAAAAAGCACATAAAGTAGATTTCGGGTGTAACGACGACGAAGGGACCACTGTATTTTCGTCGCTATATCCGGAAGTCCTTATAGGTAAAAGTAAAAAGATACAGACACGTATAAATCTGCATCTAGGGGTCATACTTATTCAAAAGTTTACTGAACGCAGTTGCTACTCACAATATCACTTTGTAACTGAACCATTTTAACGTACACGCTTACCTACCTACCTGGCTAACATCTATGAACAAACGGTAAACGTCACCACACTTGCTGACCAAGTGTGTGGATATAAACAAATGATAAGAAAGGTTTTTGTGTCTTTAGAAGCCGATCCCGGTCGCTATATCTGCATGGGATTATTAGGGATTTGTTACAAATGATTTATTAAAAACAGTCGCTACACCCGAACTCGGCGTTACATCCGAAGTCACTATAGCCACATTAATTTGTACTAAAATATGCTTTAAATTCAAGGGACTTTGGTTTGATGTTGTTGTAGCAAAATTATCGCTATAACCAAGGTCGTAATAAATGAAATCCACTGTATATCACTCCATTCTTTGCAAAAACCTTGTTATGCTTCTTTAATATTTTGATCTGATGTTCGAATAATTTAGAGATATAAAACAGAAGTTAGCGAAAGGTCGGACGCCTTTAATAAAAAAAAGTCAATTCTATGTTCGCAAACGGTTAATTTAGAAATTCGAAAAAGATTGTTAAAGGTATATATCTGGAGGACGGCCATGTATGGGGTGCAAAACGTAGACGGTGAGCGCGGTGGAAAAGAAAAGGTTAGAAGCGTTCGAAATGTGGTGTTACAAGTGAATGATGACATGATGAGGATCCCAGGGATAGAGAAAGTTAGAAATGAAGAGGTATAAGAAAGAACAGTTGAACAGGGGGCGCTAAAAATGTCAATAACAGATAGGCAAGATAGGTTAGTAAAATAGTTTCTTAGTCATGAGAGGCTAGTTAGAGACATATCGGAAACAAAAATAGCAGTTAAGAGGGGTAGAAGTTGACCCAGATGAGATTACAGTTCACAAATAGTTAAAGTTGTGGGATGTTCTAGTTTTAGGGAAGCTTAGCTTAGGATAAGAAAAAGTGGAGGGTAGCTTCAGAAGTTTAATGGTGGAGAGAATGTTCTGATTATTTTAATATTTTAATTCGTAATAGCTGACAAAAAATAATGACAAAATGAACAAAAAGACGTTCAAAACGATATTAGAAGTCAAAAAACTTAAGACATTGATAACAACTTCAAACCTAATACTTTTAGGTTATTTATAAGTTAGATATACTTCTTCAGGTGTGTTAGGACGTTGTGTAAAATTTTAAACCAGAAGGAAAGTTGCGATAATGGTAACAGGAAAATATGTTCTAAACTGTCAACATCAACTCTGAAATATATTAAAAAATCAAGAAGCTTACATCGTATTTGATAAAACACTACTTTTATAAGTGTCGTTTAATAACATTTACATTTAAAATTCATTGAATTATTGTATTAGGCAACCATATTTTTCTATTAATTATTTTAAAATATGAGTATCAGAAATGAAGAGGTATTTAAAAGAATAGGAGAACGGAGGACTCTATGGAAGTCAATAAAAAATAGGCGAGATAGGTCGGTAGGATACCGTCTCAGGCATGAAGGGCTGGTCAGAGACATATTAGAGGCAGAAACGGGAGTTAGAAGGGGTACAGCTAGACCTAGATTAGATTACTGGTGACAAATAGTTAAGGATGTGGGTTGTTCTAGTTTTAGGGAAAAGCAAAGTTTAGCTCAGAATAGGAAAGAGTGGAGGT